TGCACTACACCGAACCACATCAGTATGATCAGTCATGGCCTGCTTATGGTCTAGTGGAATTGAGATCAGTTTGGCACCTGTAGCAGTTAACCAAACAAACAAATTCTTTTCCCACAGACTTCTGAGGACACAAGAATTTAACAAACCTATGTATATATATCAAAGAGTCTAATACTGCCCTCTTGTGATGATGTTTGAAATGACATTTTCCAGCTTTTTATCAGTATCAAGTAACTTGAACGATTCTGTCCCTTACCTTGCCTCCTCCTCACCCTTACTTCCCCAACCCGGTCTCAGTCTCTCATAGTGCCATTTCTCTCCTTCTCCCGCCTTTAGGCGATGCCTACTTTTTCAAGGAAAACCGGTACTGGGTACAGCAGAAAGGGGGGCTGAACCAAGAGGCAACCACTCCCAGATCGGTGGCCGTGGATTGGATGAGATGCGCCCCGCCCCCCTCGCCCAGCCAACCACCTGTCAGGTCTGATCCCAAAGGGCGGGACTGCATCTGCAACCTCGGCAACGGTGGGGTGGGGCTAACTCCCAAGGTGGTCTCTCACTGGCTGTTTCTGCTGCCCGTCTCCTTGCTCGCCCACCTCACTTCCTTTTTCTGCTACTGAAGCTCAAGCTGCCGAAATCAAAGAGGAGACGCCCCCATGTGGAGAGCAGGTCGGGCTTCACAGGTCCTGGACGGGGCTCTGCTGCTAGGTTTCGGGAATTCGGGATGGCCCGGGACGGACCTGCATGAAGGCGTGCCTCCTGTCTCCCACTTCCTGTCCCTCCCCTCACTTCCTGTCTCCGCTTGGGCGCGGTTGCTCGAGAGGTCCCCAGTGGGACCTTTCCCGATTCCAGGCAGCGCATGGCATGCAGGGGAGGGGACTGGTGGTGGGGAGGGTTCTGGGCTCTGGCGCAGACCGGAGGAGACGCTGGAGTCTGGTCCCGGGTTCCGATCTCGGACTCCAGAGGCATTCGTCTCTGGGAAAGCCGCGGGGTTTGGAAAGCTACGCCAGTGTTTTCTTTCTTCCTAAACGAGTCGGTTGGTGCTCTTGACTTATTTATTTCCGTGCCCGGAGAGTTCTGGGTTGTGCAGCCTGGGGTGCAGAATCTCAGCTCGCAGCTTTCCATGTTGTTCTTTTTTTTTTAAGTGCCTTGTTGTTTTGTATTTTCATTTTGGAATAAACACCAAAGTGGGTCTTCTTGTGCGAGTGTGTTTATTCGCTGGATAAAGTACTTTTGTACTTTCACTCCTGGGTTTAATTTACTGACCAGATCTGCATCTCTATCTCTCTCTGCGTATTTCCAACACAGTGGGGGGGAGGTCAGAGCGCAGGGTCAGGCATTTATACAGCATCCCTGGAACAGTTGGGGTGAAGAGCCTTGCTCAGGGGCCCAATGGAGTAGGATTCCTCTGCCGGCCGTGGGATTCGAACCGGTAACCTTCTAGCCACAGCTACAGGCGCAGATCCTTAGCCACAGTGCCACCGATCTGCCCCTGAAAGGGACCCCATTCCTGCTCCCCCCAGGCGATCCACCTAACCAGCCGTTTCTCTGGGAGGAGACACCCGAAAGTCAGGGGGGAACATGCAAACTCCACCCAGACAGTTCCCATAACAGCACAGTCAAACAGCGTCAGGGCATCTGCAGTGACCGGGGGCCCGAAGTTTGACCCCCCACCTCCCGCGGCACAGTGCTCCCTGTGCCAGCACCCGGGAGCATCAGTCGGGATTCCTGGTCCAGGTGAAAGATCGCCCCCTACTGGTCCACCAACACCACTAACAGACACAACCAGTGGAGGTCTCCAATCCCAGTACTGGGTCACAGCACGAGGGGTGGATGCTGCTGAGAGGTGACAGCGTGTATGATAATGATGATGAAACGAGGCAGAGTTGGTGACTCCGTGTCTGCGCCCTAAGGACTGCTTCCTCGGGGCTTAAATACTGCACGAGGGGGCCTGGCGGGGTTGAGGGCCCCGAGGAGCCCCCGGCACGGGTGGGCCGCGCGGTGGTATTGCTGAAGTTCACGCGGCGGCGCTGGAGCGTGCCGGGGCGGTGCCGCTCTTTCGTGAGTAATAAAGACAGCTCCCGGGGGCGCCAGTCCTAGGAGAGTGCTGAGGTGAGTGGGAGGCACTGACTTTTTGTTGAGATGCAGTTTTGATCCTGAACAAGCTCCCAATCAGGCTCTCTGATTTTCATCGGCACGTACTCTGTTACTGGGCAGCGGAGCACCTTTAGCACCAGACTGCTCCAGCTGCGGTGTTCAAGGGAACGTTTCCGCAGGTCTCTCCTCCCGGCAGCTGTCAGGGTGTATGACGCTGCCCCAGGCGAGGACTGTCAGCCCTTCATCTGCTCGTCTATGGACAGCATGGTGCTCCATTGTGCTTTTTGTACACTCAATCTGTATAAACCTATGCACGTTTTGCACAAATTTTATTGTTTTTACAGTGACTTTTGCACACACCTATGTATTTTTATTTATTTATTTTATATAACTTTGTTTTTGTTTGTCTTGGGCTGGACTGCTGTAACACGTCAATTTCCCTACGGGACCAATAAAGTCTTATCTATCTATCATATACTGGGAATTCTGATAGAACCATAGGCTCCCCTCATAGTAGTATTATACGGAAAAACAGATATATCTTGCTAAGGAAGACCATATTTCATGAATCCTGGTTAAATAAGAGTATTTGGTCAGTCGTGCATTTATGGGGGGCTAATGGAGAGTTTTATAAATATGGGGATTTTGTTCAAAGATATGACATTGGATGTAAACCAAAGCAATTTAATGAAATGATAGATGCAATCCCAACTGCTCCTCTTGCTTTGGTAGAAATTTCCACATCTTGTGATGCTATATCTCCCCTACGACCTGAGGTCAGAACTGGAATCTACGATATTTTAGAAAGGAAGTTTAATAAGACGTACATCCGAACATTTATGGCTGAAACAGTCTCCCGCCATCAAGGAGAAGGTACTTTTTGATGATGGGGACGACGATTCTCTTATTGTTGCTGGAACTGAATACGTTACTCCCCCCACTCCGCCAAAATCATTTTAAAATACCGAACAACATATCCAAGGAATTTCTGAGAAAAAAAGGTTAAACTGACTGCAACACCCGTACATTGTTTTAATCTAATACTGAAACAACAGCTTTCCGGCACTCTTCTCTGATGGTGGTTAAATAATAGTAATATGAGTGTAAATCTCATTTCTAAGGGCATTGTTCTTGGTGTTCTGAATAAAAACAAAGAAGCTTGTATAATGTTAAGTCAATCGCATCCTGGTTAACGTTTACATACATACGTGTGGAGTAAAAAAAAAAACTCCTATGTGCTTTAAAGAATGTACTAATTCAATTAAGTTACACGCAAATTTATTAAAATACGCTCGATTAACTGGTTTGTAGAAACCTTTCAGCATATAAACTCATTTATATAATTACCCCTAACACAACACACCCTTCGATAAGGTTCTGATTTGCTGTTCTGTTTCATTCATTTTTTAATTGCCTTTGTTCTGTCATGATACCCCACGTGTACGTGTATAACCTTGTTTGCTGGATTTTCTGTTTCTGTACATTTAAAAAAAGTACGCCACTACCACTTCCGTCTCTGTTCTGTGACGTCACGATTAATTACACTGCGCTAACGGGGAAACCGGATTCGTCGCGGCCTTCGCTGGGACTTATGGGAGTTGTAGTCCTACCCCCCGCGGTGCAGTGTGGGTACGGCGTAAGCGCTGGCTGACGCACTGGTAGAAACTCCGATCTCCGTGTCGCGGACGTGATCGTGTTTTCTGTAATTAATTATTGTCATCTTTAGAGGCGATTGCTCCCTTCGTCCCGAGGAGGTTCGATATCCTTTCGCTTTTTAAAAACAATCCTCCCTTTCTCTCCGGGAGAGGAAAGGCGGAGGTGAAGGTAAGTCGACGAGAGGAGAGAGAGAGTGGGGCCCAGGGGGTGGCGGGGAGGTGAGGGCGGTCGAGCGCGCAGCGTGTCCCCGCGGCCAGGCGTGCATGCCCGGCCGAAGGCCGCACTGCGAGACCGGGGATTGGGGAGGCCTTTGCGTCCGGGTTTGTGTGTGTGTGGCGGGGGAGCTGGTGTCGAGAGGAAGCCGAGGGGGGAGAGAGAGAGAGACTGGGGGAGCTTTTCCATCGTCTCTGAAGGGATTGGGGGTGTTTTATTTCCCTCACTCGCCCGAGTCCTGGGGAAGGTACAGAGACGTGCGTTTGTGCGGCACAGCAGGTCAGCAGAAACCCAGCGGGGAGGAGGAGGAGGAGGGGGGAGACGAAAATAAAAACTTTATTCAGCAGAGAAACGGGAGTTGTGTTCGGCCCGGGAAGGGTGCGAGGCAGGCCGGGTGCCGGGAGTCCTGCCGGTAGGGACTTCGCTGGGGATAAAGACAGGAGGAGTGTTGGAGAGGAAGTGCTGATCACGCGAATCGCAACAGGAGGATAACAGCTGTTGCGCTTCTTCCAGGGCGAAATTCACTTTTGTTTTCTTCCGAACTGGGATCGGACCGACACTCTGTTACAGCCCGTTGCTGTTAAAGCCTTTCTCGAAGTTGGAAGTTTCTTAGTGCGTAGCCGGACGTCCGTGTGAAGCTCTCGAAACCCCCGAGATGATCAAATGTTGATTGTAGCGATTAACCTGTTGAGCAGCTGGTATTCTCAGTGCAGTGTTAATGTACTGGAGTGTCCAGTCAGTGTGTCTGTATTAACC